GAAACGTGCTTCAGCTCGCCCCAGTGAAAGTGCATCACGGATCCAGCAGCTTTTCAGCTCCCAGGGCTGTTTGGAAAGTCCGACACACATCAAAGTAACATCATCCCACTGCTGGGGATCGAGGAGGCTGGGCCCCCCCATCATCTCCGGCAGACCCAGTTGGGTGTTGCGTTCGCTCCAACTTCCCTCTCCCCTGCTTTCTTGTTTGAATTTCTTAGCATCGCTGTAACCCTGAATATTTCTAAAGCAAACCAACCACAAGGGATGTATGTATGAATGACAGAGTCCAGATGTGTGACCCTGAAGGCAGATGTGACTGATTCTGCTTTTTGAGTTTTAGGGCCTGGGAATGGGCAACCTGCATTCTTCAGCTATGCTTAGAGAGTAAGTTTCTTAAACATCAGGTCTCCCCTTCTCTGATAGATGGACTTTAAGCCTTTCTGTGCGTATCATAACTTGTTTCTCGTATTCGCAGAGAGTTTAGAACGCCTTTCTACCCCAAAGCTGAGGCGAAGGGACCCACAACATCTGGGAGGGAGTGATGAATTTTCTTTTGATGCACCACCTCTTTGGAGGCAGGCCCTGGAGAATGCAAACGAGGAGTTGCCTTAAAAATTCACCAGCTGGGACCTTTTGTGCCATGACTGTGTGGCCTTCTTGCCTGGACCCTGCTTTGCAGTAGTTAGGACAGGAGGTGATGTGAAGACTAATCGATCAACATCTGAGATAGGCTCATTCAGACATGAAGTTCATGGAACTGCCATGGTTGAGCTAACAAAGAAATCCCGCTCGAATCTGCTGCAAACTTGGCTGGCCTTAGTCTCTAGCACAGTGTTTCTCAGCCTTGGGCACCTGAAGATGTGTGGACTTCAACTCCCAGAATTCCCCAGCCAGCCATGCTGGCTAGGGAATTCTGGGAGTTGAAGTCCACACATCTTCAGGTGCCCAAGGCTGAGAAACACTGCTCTAGCATCTGTGAAAAGGAAAGAAATTAATTCTCCCCAAAGTGTCCTATTTGCACTACTGAACTAGCCACTGTGTTCAAGTGAAGTGGACTATAGAGAGGTCAAAAGCTGGTGCTCAGCTGCTGTTCTCCACTTCTGGTTTTCTGCCAGGATCTGGAAGAAGAATTGAAAGAGTTTCACATAGCACTGAAATGTAAATGTCCTATCACCCAACACACTCATTCCCCAAAGTCATGATTTTTCTATAACATAAAACCTAGTTCAGCAAGGAGCTTTGAAGCGCCATCAATAAACTCTCCGTTTTCGTAGACTTCTGCCTGTTTGATTATTTTCTTCCTCTTTTGCTATGAGAGAAAAGGAAATTAAAAATAAAATAAAATAAAATAAAATAAAATAAAATAAAATAGCAACATAAGAAGAACCCCTGCTGGGTCAGATTAAAGGCCTACTTTAGCATTCTGTTTCTCATGGCAGAGAACCAGGAAACTCATACAGTTGGAAGAGATCTTAGAAGTCATTTAATCCAGCCCCCTGCTCAGTGCAGGTTTCACTCGAGCATCCCTGACTGCTTGGAGGGAGGTATTGAGTAGAACAAGGGACCTTCACCATGTCTGCAGATGACCCAAGTTTAAGAGGTGGCTAATCTTTTAGATGAGAGAGAGAAGAGACACACGTCTTCAGGTCCCCAAGGTTGAGAAACACTGTGCTAGAGTGAAGTCTGCTTCACTGGCTGACAGTTCATACAATCAGGATGCTCCTGGCCTCTAGTTTTAATCTTCTTTCTTGTATTTTTAACCCATTGGTTCTGGCCTTGCTCCTTGGGGCAACGGAGGATAAGTCTTCTCCCGCTTCTGTATGACAGCCCTCCATGTCTCATCCGGAGGCTGCTATCAGATCACCCCTCAGCCATATTTCTGTAGGCTGAGAATGCAAGATTTTCATCCTTTCCTCATAGGGCTTGTTGCTGGACCTTCACCACCTTGGTAGCCCTGAACTTGCTCTGATTTATTTGAACTAGGTACTCAGTACCGGACATTGGACTCCCAATGGGGTCTGACCAGGTCAGAGTAGAGCAGAACAATTACTTCCCAGGACCTGGAATCTATGCTCCTGTTAAGGTACTCAATAGAGCATTGGCCTTTTTTGCAGACGCATCATGCTGCTGGCTCACTGTGGCCAACAAGGACACCCAGATCCCTTTCACATTTACTATGACTATGTTAAGTCTCCCCCGTCCTATACTTACACCTTATATTTTCTAGAGAGATGCTGAGCTTTACATTTCTCCCTGTTCAATTCTACTGTGTTCATTTCAGCCCAAGCCTGTCTAGATCTTTCTGAATCTTCTCTCTCATCTAAAGATTAGCCACCTCTTAGACTTGGGTCATCTGCAGACATGGTGAAGGTCCCTTGTTCTACTCAATACCTCCCTCCAAGTTGAAGTGGGGCCCTTCATGAGCACTCTTGGAGGGGGTCATGCAGCCAGCGTTGAGTTTGTCTAATAGGAGCATATTCTAGTCCATGTTTTAACATTTTATTGAGGAGAATCTCATGAAACATCTCTCAGAGGCTTTTCTGAGGTCCAGGTCCAGCCTCTTCTGTTCTAATAACTCATATCGAAGAAGGAGATGAAATTAGTCTGGCATTAATTCTTTGAGACAAATCTCTGCTGGGGGCTCACAAATGTGTGCTATTTAATCAACTCTTTGACTTTGGGTTCTTGTAGTGTCTTAAATATGAGAAATGAATAAGCTACTGAAGTGAATTAAATGGGCTGGGTTTACACAGTGTGCCAAACAGAATTAAGCTAACCAAGTTTAGCGTGTTGTGCCAGGCAGCTCTGAGGTCTTTAATTGGCCCATTTAAGCATGTTGGGCAAATCCATAGACTGAGCATGATTCTGAAAGAAAACTCTCCAAGGGTCAACTTGCTAGAAATTTTGACCTGGCTTGAAACACTATATGGAATTCATATGATCCAAAATTTTTACTTTGATTTTTTCCCCCCTTTCCTGAACATCACAACTATTGCAGTGGGTCTCTTTGGAAGTGAATTTGACAGACTCCAGACTTTCAGAAGCCTTTTAAATATGTATTAATATTGTTATTGCCCTTTTTTAGTTTGAGGAAGTGAGTAACCGTCTTTCTATGACCTGTAAATGTCTTTGTATATAGAAAAAGCAATGTCTGTCTGTCTCCCTGTGTGTGTGTGTGTGTGTGTGTGTGTGTGTAAAATACTCTGTAATTGTGTATAGAACGGGACTTGGGGTAGGCCTAGTCAGGTGTAACATGCACTGCTGGTTTTGTAAATAAATTGCACTTTTGCCATCCCAGAATTCTGCTGTTTGGTAAATATGTAAATCTTGGTTAAAGTCGTAGAGAGGATTTCCCCCTCTGCTTCTAATCTAAGCAACCAGAATGGATAAATGATCAAAAAGAGCAGTGTCAATATTGGAGAAGTGGGAGAGTAGCCTCAACGTGTTTCCAATTCTGTTTTATTTTGCGGTCCATCAATTCTCTGCTTGTGCAGAAAAAGTGTACGTAAGTGTGCAAAGTATACTTTTCTCCCCGGCTCATGTGTCGGTTATGTGCTCCTCCCTGTACCCGGATCCAAACTGGGCTGTGACTTTCATTCCTTCTCCAGGGAATCCCCTCAAATTCACCACCCCATATTATTATCGGAAAATTTCGTGAGCTCTTCTGTTCCCTTTCATAGTTCAGATAGAAACTCTCCGGTTCGATATACCCTGCTTAAACCAATAATGTACACCATCCCTTAGTAGCTGCCTTTAAATAAAACTAATAATTGTACCATACGACTGAAAACGTGGTGTACTTTGCAATACACAGATGCCACAACTGTCCAAAAGACTTAACTTAAGATGGAAACATGGGTTTTTGAGAGAAAACGGCACCAGCCAGGTGGGCTGGAGCACACATGCACCAGACATCGTGGGGAAATAACCCTGAGCTTTTGGGCTGTGTTTTGGTCACGCCATCCACAAGAATTCTCCATCCTTTTCTTATTTATCATTCCATTTGCCAAAAGAGAATTTGAACGAGAGAGGAAAAGAGAGGACATAATAGGGATAAAATCATGCCAGCTCACACGGGGCACCCAGAACGTTTTTTTCCGTCTCTGACAATGTAGGAAGCCAAACGCGGGGAGATTCAGGACCAGAAGAAGAAAATGGGTTTTCGCACAACAGCAGCCAAGGTGGAGGGTTCGAAAGGAGCAGACTGGCCTGTGGAGGGTCCGGATAAGGTAGAGGTGGCCCCCCGAATCCCAGCTCTTGGGATGGGGCTCTTGTTGTCCAGGCCTGGGGGCTTCCCAGATGCATCCTTTTAGCTGACCTTGATAGCCTGATCTAGCTGGACCTTTAGGTTCCAATTTACCTTTGAAATGTCCTGCACAAGAGAAGGGGATTTGGGGGAAATTCTGTCAGGTAGAGATGGTGCATTTGCCCTTACAGTATGAGAAGAAGCCCACAACCATGAGTTCTTTCTAATGGTTCTCCTGTTGCCACAAAGAGGGAAGGGTTCTCTTGAAAAATGGTTGAAGAACAATAATTTATCCTTCTCCTGGATAAATTCCACAACTTGCTCATCCAGTTTCTCTGTCCACAGACTGGGGGGAGGATTTTAAAAGGCCCAACTCCCATCATGGCCCCTGGATTAGTCCAGGCCCTAAAGAACGGGATACACAACCTGAGGACCCCCAAGACTTCATAATGGCTCATAAAACATCTCCCAAAACAATAGCGGTTGATACAACAGAAAAGGGAAATGACTACATTCCATTCTCATTTAATTTTAAGTATATTTCAATAGAATTTTAAGAAGTTTAATATTTGTCCTGGCTCTGAGTACTTTCTGGAGTGTGGGCCCAGCATGCTGTCAAAAGCTAAGGATGTCTCCGAGCCTCCAAACGTTGAGCTGAGGTTGCCTGTTGTTTTTAAGACAAAGGCAAGGGTTTGTAATTGGTTTTCACAGAAATGGCATCTTCATTCCTTCAGAATTTCCTTCAAATGTGCTGGACCGCAGTTATCATCATGGGTCATCATGAGAAATTCCACGTAGTTTCCAAGGTTCTGTCTTTACCCCAAGTGGGCATTAAAGAGCCTTTCCTGAGACCGGTGCGGTTCTGGCTTCCTGGATCTTGCCCAGCTGGGCAGGGCTTGGCAGGAGAGGATGAACGCTTAATCAAAAGGCACAGACTTGGGGAAGCCAGCGTAGATCCTCCTCTCCATTGATTTACAGTATGTATTCCAGTTTTCCTTCTTTCATGGCATAAATCGTGCCATAAGAACAATCTGGGATGGCTTGTTTACGATGTGAGTTATGAAACTGTCACAGGCAGGGATCTGGCCAGTTCCCAATGGGCTTTTTCAGCTGCTGTGGACATGCCTCCACCCTACATGGCCCTGGGAGACACCAAACATCTGGCTTCTCCAGAAGTACCTGCCCATCCAGTTCTCCTCCAAGTATCAGTCCGACCGTAATGCAGGCATCTTATCTTACGTGTCTAAAGGGTTCTCACAAGATGGTAAATCACATACAAAAAAATCAGGTGCCTAGCAGGGCATTCTTGCTCATGGCTGGAGGTCTCCTGCAAGTCCACTAGGCAATTGTTCAGAAATGCTTGAGCCAAGAAGCGTATTTTCCTCTGCAATCTTCAAAGACCATAGAAAAAAAATCTTCCTGTCCCTGTTTCAGCCAAAGAGTACAGAAGCATCAGTATTACCATCAAGCTGCAGGTCCTAAGTTTTAAATTTCCTAACATTTAATAAAAACAAATTTGTAAAGGTATTAGGCAATCTCTATTGAGGTCATGAGTTTCTGCCCCCCAAGACTCTCACCACAACCTTGCTGGCCACAAGCCAGGTGGCCTTCATGCAAGTCACAATCAAAGCTAATTGGGAAAATCAAAAACGCAAGATTGCAAAGCCATCTGACTTAGTCCTTCACCCTCCAAATGCGACAAAGGAGAGAGAGTTTTGTGTACAGCCGTTAGCTTGTTCTTTGTGGTTTCAGAGATGCTCTGCAGGGGAAGTTGTGTTTGGAGACAAGCTGAACTCACTTCCTGCCAGCTCTGAGTAAGAACAGAACGATTTTTTTAATGAAAAAAAAAACCCAAGGGCCCCGGATTTTCTACCTTTCCCCCCTCCACAACCGTGTGCCTTGCTGCAGCGTCCCAGAGGGCCTGGACCCACAGGAGCACTCCCACTTCTGGTGGCCCCGAGGTTGCAAAGAGAGCTCTTCCAACCTTTCTGAAGACTTTGGATGCGACAAGTATTGGCCACGGAGATTAGAATGAATTTAAGGAAGCAAAAGATCACCGTGGGCCAGTAGATGAGTTCTGGGGAGCTGGGAGCTCAACAGTCAACAGCTTTTGCCTGAGGCCCAATGGACGTGGCTCAGCCTTGGAAGCAGAAGGAGGCCAAAGGGTGTAAGTGCTGAGGAAGAGGAGGAGTGGAGCCCCTTAGCATCCATGTCACTGGCCATGAAAGCTCGGCAGAAGGTGAAACGGAAGGGACCGGCCAAAGATCGGGTCTTTGGGTGTGATCTGGTGGAACATTTGCAATCATCTGGCCACGACGGTAAGTGGTTTTCTTTTTTGGAGACCGGCAAATGTTTCAACCCCCTTAAAATGTCCATTAGCCCAAACCAGAAACTGAGTGAGTGGAGAACCTTTGCTACACAACAGGTTTTGGGTTGAAAGCCTCGTTGCCTTTCCAAGGAAGACTTCTATCCTTGGGGAGGAAATCGTGCTTATCATAAATCTGGGGCCCTCACAAGAGTCTTCTCCAAACTCTGTGCCTTCCTGATGCATTAACAGATATTCACAAAGCATGTTCTAATATTAATAATAGAACATTGTTAAAGGACTAATGAAAAATTAAAACCAAATAGGTCAAAGCAACAAACAGCATTATAATAGCAACACTAAAAGCAATATTTGTGTCTATTAAAAGTTCAGACAATAAAGCTGGTTATACTTGGGGTCCAAAGTTTGGAAGGGCTGTCAAAAAGTGGCTACAGCTAGGAGCTGAATTCCTCAGTGGTTGGTTTAATCATTATTTTCTGAGCTTACAAAGTAGGACATACATAGCAGAACATCCATGAATCTTCTTGGATATTCACATAGGGCCATTCTATGAACCTGTGGCAGGAGATATCGAAGAAAATTTAGGGGCTCTTCAAAATGGGGTCATTGTGGGAGAACAGTTGTGGTAGTCTACAGTAGCCAAAAATCAGAAGGATACCTTTAGCTCCTTTTCGGACTAGCAAATTTTACCAAAAAAAAAAGTGTTTGTGAGCTGTACCTGATAAAGTGAGGTGTAGCTCGTGAGAGTTTATGACTTTTAATAAAAGTTGCTAGCTAGAAAGGGCCCTACCAGACTTATTCTAGTTCAAAGTGGGCTGAAATTTCAAACAAGTGTGTCAATCAAAATTTGACTTCAAGTCAATTTTGAAGCTCAGTTTTAAAACTCCAATTTTTAGATTTTTGCTGTTCTTGAAATGAATATTAGCCAGTGTCCATGATCTGATATTAGTAAAAATATACTACATTTAATAGATGTTATTTCTTGTCTGCTATACAGAATTGTCAGGTCAGATCTCAGATATTGGTTATAGCCGAGATTGCCATTTTCTGGTTCATCTCAACCACCATATTGAGCATAAGTTCAGTTTCACTTTCTTATCGTTCCTTGTCTGAACTACCTTCACGCATGATTTAGCTGGGCAAGAAAGCTGTAGGAGAAGCCTCTTAAACTCTTACATTCAGGTCTAAGATGAAAGCTCTTTGCATATGTAATAATAATGTGGAAATACTGATAAACAGGAACATGCCCTATTTATTTGAGCAGACCGACCCCAACCCCACGTCTCCTAATGCGCCTTGAACATTGATTCAAAGTGACTTTACTAATTCCTTGGAAATCTACTATAAACGAGAGTCACCTAAAGCTGAAATAACTATAGGATGCTGGATGTTCCATAGTTCATAGCTAGAAAATATACACAACATTATTGAATATTCTTCTAAAGTTTCCTGCAAATTCTATATTAAATAGTTACGTCTATTTAGTAATGCAAGTTTATTACAAAAATATAGAAGCAAAGTTAAAACCAGAGATATTCAAACCAACCATTGCGTGCCACTGTGAATTTATTTCTTATTCCAAGTGACCACAGCACAGATCCTGGGAGCCAGACATGTTCTCTCTCCTGATAGGTCAGGGTTACCACCCACCAGCTTAAGATGAAACTAGGATTTGATATCTTGGAACAAACCGAGTTTGTCATGAGGCCGTCACAGAAGACTGCCGGGGTGGATGTGGCCAGGGACAGGTTGTCCCTTTATCAGAAGATAAGCTAAGGGGAGTGGTCCAGCCCAGCCCTCCAGCCAGTGAAGAGCAGGACCAGGTCAAAGTGGTATAACTGGATGACTCTCCTGGTGCTCTGTTTACCAAGATCTCTGCCAAGGTGGCTGTTTTTTAAATTTCCGTTCAGTTAAAAAAAAAAAGTTAGGTGGGAAGCTGCAGGCCACAAAGTTCCAGGATCGCTTTTATTTCCATGACTGCCTCTGTCTCCCACCTACAAGCATTCTTTGCAAAGAAAAATAGCAGGTGGCTTTGTTTAAAAGCTGCCCGCTTGCCCCCAAAAGCAGTGTTTCTCAGCCTTGA